TTTTTTCTCTTTTAAAAAAAATTTCTTTAATGTTAGTGTTATTTTTATTGTTTAAAAGAATGATCTAAAACAAAATGACACAAAAGATGACACAGAATATTTATTTTAGAAACATTTAGCTCTCGGAATGCAAGGGTCCATGTAAGTGTGGTCCTGGGACAGGAGAGGTGGGGGGAGGTGAAAAGATCTTGTGCTTTAGTGAGAAACGTATGTGTGCCATGCCCGTAGTGCAGTCTGTGTTAGTCTGCAACTTTAACGTAAGGTACTGTGTGGCCCTTTGGGCTTTGAGAATAGGAAGCCTCTCTACACACACGTGAGCTAAAATCACCCCTCATCACAAGGAAGTGTGCACTCTGAATAATTGTGTGCACTGAGCAACTCCAGCTGACTGGCTGATGACAGGTAAGAGTAGTGCAAAATCTACATGACCAGGAAAATGCCAAGACATTTGGAAAGGATAGTTTAATTTCCAAGATTTCTTTCTGACTTGTGTTTTCTCTTTTAGCCATTACAGGCTCAAGTAAGAGATTTGATTAACTTGATTTCTGTGAAAGGTTATTTAGCCCCTCAATCTCATTAAGTCACTTTCTGCACTCCAGTGCACCCGCCTTCCCCAGGTTATCTATCAGTTGGGAAGAGTAAATGGAGACAACAGGATCAGATTTCTAAAGGAAGGAAAGTTAAAGCAAAGTTTGAAAGGGGCGACAGTCCTGAGCTTAGGAACTCAATTAGACTGAAAGACAAATATCTCATTATCTCATTCCGAAATGAGCTAAATACATAAGAATCTAAAAGTTTTAAATAAACTCGCCCTATTGACTGTCTAGATGACTGAATTTTTCTTCTCAAAAAATTTTTAAACACCCACTTTCATATTTATTTATTCGAAAGGCAAAGCGGCTGCAATAATTATGCTGTCAGATTCAGTAAGCTAATGAGGAGTCACCAGAGTGGAAAGTTTTGCATTTGTGATGTTGCTGAAGGGAAGCAGCTCTACAGCTTTTTACTTTCTTTTTGTCCATTTCCCCCCCACACCCCCCATTTTCTTTTTCTAAGTTGGAAAGGAGAGTCTACCAGTCCTTGGCCAAATGTACTCATTCTCTCTCCCACTCTCCCCCTCTCCCTCTCTCTCTCTCCCTCTCTCCCTCTCTCTCTCTCTCTCTCTCTCTCTCT